CATCCAACATTAGATTTTGATTATTAATGTTGGGCTATAAATTATGATTACTTTAGATTCAATTCCAACCCGTAAAGGTTTATTTATCATGTTTATGATTCCTCAATGCTCTGATTGCTGTTCAGGATGAATGCACACCAAATATAACTGGTCTACAAATGTATACGAGAGCTGGTATAAATTGGCTGTTCCAGCAACATAGTGATGAGGAAATGAATGAAAATAAGCTCATGAACATCGTTCAGAACATGCTAATGAGTCTGTAAGTGGAAATAAAAATATAGAACAAATTAAACTTTATTTTAAGACCTTAACTAATAACATAGCACATGCATCAGAATGTATGGAACACTGCATGCAATGGAGACATTCGGCATGTATGCACTGCAGGCACAATAAAAATATAAATTAATGTTGCTTTATTTTAGTTATATGCTAGAACACTGAGTGGGTGGCATCAAAATATGTATATTTATGAAATCTGAAAAAATAATTACAATTATGATATAGCATAACATCATTATAAAATGATTACAATCATGAGTGTAAAAACAAATATTTAACTTTAATGCTGTATATGAGATATTTATATATAAATACAAACTGGTGGGACAATATTCTAAAGATTATTAATAAATGTGTATATCATATTGATAGTGCCAATTAAAAGGCACCATGTTCATTATTCAACACATGGGAATTTTTTTAGTTTAAATTGCTGTGCACATGTGCAGTTTTCCCACTCCAAAATGCTATACTAACCTACTTTTAAAATGCATTTGCACTGCGTGTATTATAACCGTGGGTAATTGCAATGTTTTACACAATGTGTTCCTTAGTAAAATCATTTACGTAATTAACACCATATTCTTGGTTCTTTCGGTAAAGTCACGTAGAAGGTAAATAATAAAATAATAAAATGTTACATTATATTTTTGTTACTTTGTCCATTCATTGTAAGAGTATCCCCCTTTGTAATACAGTATATACATAGTCTTCCTCAATGTTATTTTTATTATGTTGTATTTGTATTATTTTATTATTTCCCTTCTACGTGACTTTACCGAAAGAACCAAAAATATGAATCCCTGCAGTCACGAAGGCTTTAAATCGAAATCATGAAAACCATCATTCATGATCAGTCCACTGCTGGACGAGTGCCTCCCCATGCCTCTATCAGCGCAGCACGAGGTCTTTGTACTAATGACACCACTGTTTTCAGATATCATACAGCACCGATCTTAGTTCAGGAGTTCAATGCCGATGTTGAGGTCTGCGTGGAAGATAGTAGCCCTCTCGCAAACCCACCTGTTAGGTTTGTTTCGTGTTACCTTAAACACAACTAATACCCTCATCTCGGCCCAATGGACGTCTTTCATTTCAATTCTTGTAACACGACGAATGGGGAAAAAAACTAAATGAATATAAACGCCACCTTGATTGCAGCGTGATGTTGATCAAGGCTTAAACATAAAGCAGTGGTGAACTGGATCCAAGCTGTTTTAAGTTGTCATCAGAGACAATGTGAAAATAACAATCCCAAGCCGTTAATTGGTAAAGGGTTGAGAAAATGAGGCATTTGTGGGTTGTAAACAAAGTATATTTTTATTCTGTATAGGAAACTCCAATTTCAGTTTTATGAAGAGGCTTTGAATTTACATGGTGAAATGAATGTTAGAATCAAGATATATCCAGATATATTCATGGAGTAACATGTTCAAAATAAAAATATATCAAGTTAAATTGAATGAAGTTAATATTTGAAAAAGAAAAAAATATTCAATACATGATATGCATCGAAGTAATGTATAATTTATTTACTTATCACATTATAAATACTTTTCTGAGCTTACTGTACATAGACCGGTTCCTACATTACAATGTGCATGCTAACCCATGCTTTCCAGATCTCATGGTCACTATCTTTTTTTGTATGATTTAAGTAAATTGCAATCATTTGCAATCTTCATTGTTTCTCAAGCTAGGCCATTGTTTAAAATGTCATGTTTTGAGTGTCTTTATATATCGGTGTTTGTAAAATAAATACATTCAAACGGTGCAGTGAATCATTAGAAGCAAAAACGATCAATGGTTTGAATGACACTAATCCTATACGAGAGAGAAGCAATGGCTGTTGTTACATTTCCTCTACTCTGCAACTACACGCTCAAAATAATTGGAAAAAATGTTACACAGAGTTCAACTAAAACCACTTAGTTAATGCATTAAAATTCTGCTACAGAAACGACAAGGCAACCTTGACATCAAAGCAGTAACGGCTAAACACTTCTTCAAAACATTACATAGATCGATTGGTGTAAATACAGTGCGTGTGTATGGCAATGTCGATGACATTTAGACGTTATATACCATTAATAGTAACTTCATTATAAATGTCTAGAAGATGGAAAAGGGTACAGCTGGAAACCTTGGAAATATCTTGTTCATATCTTTATTACCATAATTTTAAGTGGACTGAGATGTTTGGTGAGATATTTTAAAAGGCTGACCAGCATGTTTTAAAATTAAAATAGACGTACCCCCAAAGCCTTGCCAGTTACTATGGATGGGACATAAGTAGGTTATAATTTATACAATTCAATATAAGGAGTAATATTGCTATGCCCTCGAAATATAACTGCTTTAACAGTCCTGGGTTAATGTAAATCCTACTGAGTTGTGATCAGCAACAAGAATACAGTTTTGCGTGAGTAAAGCAGGTGGTCAATTTTATGGGTATGCATTAAATTGCTTTCCCTCCGTTAGACTGTTACCGCACAATTATCTGACAAGACATAAAAACAATTCTGGTAATTGGGATGGTTTATTTTAGAATGAATGTGATCGTAGATCCCTTGTCGGTTTCATTAAACAAATTAAGTGCTATTTTTTTTATTCATTTGCATTCTACACGAGCGTATACAAAGGGATACTTTTCACTTCAACTGATTTATGTGATCAACCAATGATGTTAATGTAGCAGAAGGGTAGGAACTTCAGACGTGGAATGAATATTATCCTCCTGGGGCCCTAAGCGAAAACTGGGGCCCTAACTTTAGGTACCCTTCCTTGTCTCGGGGTCTATCGTCCACAAGTATTGCCCCATAGGCGTCAGCCTACAATAGTTATTGAGGCAATCGGGCTCTTCAACCTGTCTCGCTGGGGCATTAGTCCAGCCTTGGCCTGATCACCACGTGCTGCTGTAAATTTCTGGAGAAATTAAAATAATATATTTAAAAAATATCGCGTAATTGGATACGGTAAAAAGCTAAACAAAGTAGACAATTTTGGATTCATAACAATGGAATTTACTTCTCAGTATGGTGTAATCAATTTTATTGGCTATAGGCCAGTAAAGAAGCCCCCCATAATAGTTGTTTGCCATGGGCTCAAAACTTTGGTGATTACCATTCTGTTCTATCACAACGAATGCATCATTGTCTATGCAGCCTCCGAAAGGCTCGTTGTTTTTAAAACGGTGAAGAGTAGAAAAAAATGGAATAAAAACATCAGCAATAAATTCCGCCCTGAATGCAAATATTGACTCTAGCTAGAACAACTTTTGAAGAGAAAAAAATCCATTATGTTTCAGTATGATTCTGCTATTATAAGCTATTAGTTATCAAGGGAATTGCCAGGATATGGTCTTGTTTTGTTGAATTTATGATCACATGCTATGTTTAGAATGACAGGAAACTCTAAATGTGTTATATTATGCTGCATATGATGGTAATTCATGTGGAATTATTTTCAAGTGTTTGTCTCATTTTAGTTTCAGAATTTTCCACGTAAAAGCACAAATACATGGTATCCATAAAGAAAGCGTGCCTTATTAAATAACTGTAGAGTAATTAGAGGGCGGTCTAAGCTAGATCAATACAACTATGCGTGCGGGAGTTTGAAGATTGTATCGCGTGATTGGCATTCCTCTCGACCTCCAGATGTCCGCCATGCCCTTGGCGACACACATCGTATCAAGAAATGAAAGACTCTCAAGTATTCACCATCATCGACGGTACGATGCTATCAAATACGATAGAATTTACATTTATATGGCATCTAAATGTAACTGCATCAAACACACACTGTACGTAAACAGTGTAGAAAGACATAGGCAGAGGGAAACAAGCAGAAAGGTGTCAAGCCTGGACTTGCTTGTGTTATGTTCTATTCAAGATTTTGCAAGCCTTTTGGTTTAAAAATGCAAGAGTATATATTCCCAACATTTCAACCATGCAGTTCAAACTCATGTCTAATTGTAATTCTTAAAATAATGTATGATACCCTTATGGATATTCTATATATATCGTACAAAGTACACATACCATTTCATTCCTGTGTTTAACTTTAGCTCATATCGTTTTGTTCGAGTGCATCATATACATTTCAACCATGCAGTTCAAACTCATGTCTAATAGTAATTATGAAAATAATGTATGATACCCTTATGGATACCCTATATATCTCATACAATGTACACATACCATTTCATTCCTGTGTTTGACTTTAGCTCACATCGTTTTGTTCGAGTGCATCATATACAACGGATTAATGAAAACATAACGTATTTGACCACGTGCTGAGTGCTTACACACACAAAATAACTGTGGCTGGGTTGGGGCAATTATTTGTTCTTGTAAACATGAGATGCCCGAGTAAATCAAGCATGCTGTCATAAAAAAATAGCAGCTATAGAAGGGCTATCCAAGCAGGGATGATGGATGTGGTTGTTCAGGCTGAGATATATAGTGCACGACTGCATAGGTCGACACTAACTCTCCATAATCGAGTGGCGTTCCAGGCTTTGCTTGCTGACACTTCAACTCATGCAGCCCATGCGTATTTCTGTGCCTGTGCAATGTCCAGCTGTTGCCATCCATACCCATCACACTATAACAGTGCTGTCCACTGTTAATGAACGCGCATTTGTATCTGACAATGTCGCGTGAGCGTTCACCAGTTCTTTTTCTCAGTGCGGTCATACAATCGTCACGTGCGCCTTTGATTTTCATTGTTTTTGTTTTATTGACCATAAATAATTTAGTAAGAAGTGCAGTAGTCATGCAAAAATACGTTTGAAAATAACATCTGACTATGAAGGGTTTTTTTGTTTAAACATCAAAGTAAATTTTCGTCACACATCTGATGCAATCGCCTGCAGATAAATTATTCTGCCATGTCATATTTAAATCAATTATTGTAAGCCCACATTTGTGACCGTAATTGTGTATGTGATCACACTTTAATAAACAACAAAAGACAACCTTGGCATTAATTGTAATAGTGTGTGAAGGAATATTAGACAATTCAATTGACATAATGAAGTATTGTCAAAATATATGAAACTCAGCTGTTTGTTCATAAAGTAATTCAATAATTACAATGAGTTTTAATATTAGACGCAGTCATTCATTTGTACAAGTGTAAAGCTAAACATAGTAATAAAAATAAGAACAATATAAGCAACGTTCTGAAATTTAACATTTGAAATAAGTTACTTTCAGACTACAATATTTTTTTAAAAGGTTACGTTCAGGCTGCAAAAAAATGAATTATATTATTAACTAAAAAAAACTCAACTTTTCCGATGAAAGTGTTTCCATCTGACAAGATAACAAAACTTTACCAGCATAACAGCACGACAATAATTTTGTTTCATACATTCGTGATGGTCTCCAACTGAGACTGTACTCTAACTTGGAAAACAACCGCTGATCCCCCACTGGCATTTGAAGTTATCTCCAACAAGTATGGCCACTTAAACTCATTCTCTTTTCACCACAGCGGCATATTTATTTTGGAAAGCTGGCAGCAAGTCAACCAGCTAATTAAAATATGAGGGCAGATCTTGCAGAGCCTATGACAACAAACTGCATGGTAGTCAGTTCCGGATTATCAAAAGCGTTAATTGCATGTTGACATTGAGCTGGGCTCTTCAAGGGCCATAATAGTGGCCAAGCCTCAAACATCCCACACTGTGCAAACTAGTGCGAGGCCAAGATAAACCCATCTGGCTCTAGTGAGCCCCATTCACTCTGGCCCAGTTACACGGAGTGGGCAGCTGGGTAAGGGCCTGTGTGGACCAGGATTAAAGAGAAATTCAATCCAGCTCTAGGTTTTAGTTTTTTTGTGCCTGAAATAAAGGCCGCTAGAGTATGGTTATACTGTGTGCATATTATGCTAGATACAGGCCTGACATCACGCATGAGAAGGGTTATTGCACTTTACATTAAACTTCATAAAATAACTAACGATATTATACATCTCACCGAGAAACTAACTTCTAATTTGTCACACTTTATATTTACACGTTACATGCCACATATTGGCTGGAGCAACTGTTTACACCCTGAAAATGCATTCAGGCTCTAAGTAACATTTCTGTTCACTATTGAGCATACTATAGTCTAATACTTTTTATTTAACTAAATGAAAAGCTGAAGAAACTCAACATTTATATATAAGTCAGCTTTCCAACTATGGAAAATGCACTGTGTGCCACAACTCACCAACCTTGCCAATTCCCCACGAAAACTCAACGCATTCGGAAATATTGCCCATGTCTGCGTTAATAAACGGTGATAAATGAAAGCCACTTATTAAATTACATAATGTTGCAGAATGTCGTCCACTTCACAAAGAGATTGCAAGTCACCTTGATAATAGGTTTATATGAACCTTATGGCGGTACCCCAGGGTACCATAGTACCCCGGCTCTCGCATAATGTCCGTGATGCAGTCATTTTTAGTCTGTTGATGGTCGGCGATGCGGCAATCGACTCATCTCGACGAGCTGTGGTGCATACGCGAGCGTTCAGGGTTTCAGCGTAATCGTCCTCGCTGCGTAGCACTGATTTCGGATTGATTGGTACCCCAGTCGTGGAGTTAAGTAACCCCCCTGAAAAAAATAGTGTCCCAGAAATAATTGTCTCGGAGATTTTGTAAGAATCATATACAGAATATATCGTGTAAATCTTTACATTTTGACATTTTACTATAGTACTGCTATTTTTAGATTTTATTTACTTGTACAACATTGCATATAGGGATGCATATATAGTCATGTTTATTAACAATTACAGATGGTACAAAAACTGCAAAATCAGTGCCAGATCACCAACCCCACTCAATCTGAAGCCTCAAAAACTTTATGGATTTTCATGTGGCCCCCGCATATCCCTCTTGTGATGTTTTATCACATAACACAGTCAATCCATTACAACAGCAGGCATTGGAGGGTAATCTTGTTTGGGCTGCAATGGATTTGGCTTTACTTTTTTTTAAAATGTACATTTTTGGGCCAAAATCTCTTCCAATCAAAAACCACACGCAAAAAAGAATGCCAGTGTGTATTTATAATTGACCTACTATGTTGAGATATTTCATCCTACTAGAGATAATTTTAAGGACAAATAACAAATACCACATCACCCCATGATCTCAAGGGATCAGGTGACAATATTTAGCATGGCCAAGTTTTTTTCCCGTCATGAACACAACACACATCCCACGTCACTCCCTAACTCTGTTTCAAAATCATACCAATGGAAACGATCATATAAGCCAGAATTCCAGTTAACACGTATGTGTTTATTAGCTAAAGTATCATACAAATTGTATTTGCAAGTCTTTATTTAATACTTAATTGTCATCGTCGCTTCCGCTTACATTTCCCTAAGTGCACTACGCAATCAGCCATGTGATGTAACAATGCATTCATTCATCAATTATGCCAATTAATGATGCAATGATTGATCATTAAAATATCTCGTGAGCTGTTATGCTTACGATCCAAAGCTCCAGTTTTCTTATCTGCACGTGGACATGAGACCACATCACCCCAATGCTCGAATCACTGCATTGTTTCCCTCTGAAATCTCAGGTGAATTTCAGCATCACGCTCGCCCTCCTAAAAATCCTGCAATGGCCTCGCCTCTGTCTATATATCTCTTCTCGTCTAATTCTACTCCCCTTCACACACTCTCGCTCCAGGCTTCCTGTCGTAAGCCTTCAGGCAACCTTCACTTAGTGGGACGTCAATCATTCTCGTCTGCCGCCTCCATTGTCCAGAAATCAGAATTTTTATTTTTTATTTTGACTGGAGGAATCCGATGAGCTATGAAGCTCTTTTTCACAGATGTCTCTTTGCCCATGCTCATAACCCTGCCTCTGTTCAGATTTATCCTTGCGTTGCCTTGTGACTAACTTTCCTCTCGCTCTGAAATTAATACGCCCACTGTTTATGCGCACGCTACTAAATGCACATGTAATATACTGCAGTTTCCTCACGTAAACCCTACAAAGGACTAGAGATTCTACATGCACTAGAACGTCGAGACAAACCAATAAATACATTCTGCGATTGAATTGCAGCCCAAAACTGTGATTGAAAAAGTCATGTGCAGTTTCTCAAAACCCCTGGGCATTCACATTGACAGAAGCCGTGTCATAGTTTTTGATGTCTGCCTCTCAAAAAACATTATACACCACACACTGTGCGTTTTTTTCTGTTTACCGGGCCATTTAAAATGCTCAGACAATCTTCATATGCAGTACAGCGATTCAAACTCTATGTTTTATAATTAATTGCCTTATTAGTAATTCATTATTCAGAAACTGGGCTCAGCTGGGTCGAGGCTTAGTGGGCACAGCAGCGGGTTCTTACTCATGAGACGAGGTGCAAATCACACCGGGGTCTGCTCAGCCCAGCGTTCCTCCTGATTCCATATATTTCACAAACATCCAATGAGCATCTCTCTTGGTGGGACGTCAACAGTGGTTGTCATCTGGTGAGACAACCCCCACCAAAGGACTGAGAAATTCCCACCACCGACTCTGGAACGTTAACAGATGCCCAACGCCTGTTGCAACGTGACTTGATGCAATGCAGTAATGGATTTGTAATATGCAGAGATTGGCAGACAATTTTATTATCCTCAGCACATTTAATTACGTTGTGCATAAATATGAATGAGAATGTTCAACCGTGCATAGAGTGCTCATGCATTTTGAGTCAAAGGTCCTGCCTTCAAATAAGTTGAGCCGCTTCTTTCGTGTGGTGCAGCCAATCGGAAGATAGCACAATTCTGACCACCACAAGGAATCTGACGATATGTTTAATGCAGTAAACCCATTTACTTTCTGGGGTGAGAGCAATTGCATAGGGGTTTGCACAGTGTTTTATGAGCCCAGTGGTCTCCATTCAATTTCTGGTCAAGGGAAACATTAGTGGCGAGTGACATCTGATATCAATAACCCACATTGATCAGTGTGGTGAGGTATGGTAAAACACTCCTCATGACTGCCATGATATGCAGAGGTCTTCAACTATCAATGCATTGAAAAGGACTGCAAAATTAATGCTTGTAAATTATTACCAATTTGACTGCTTGGTATTTGAACACTTGAATAGAGTATGCTGAGATTTTTCAATTGCCTTGACAGGTATCAATTCTGGACCCATGAATTGTGATCACTATGATAACAATGAAACATTGACAGTAGTTTCAGTTGTTTTGGGGAATATATGTGATATCGATTACCCAGCTTCATGGCTGCACAATTTAAAATGCCTGGTAATGGCATCACAAAGTGTAAAATATCGATGGCATTTGGAATTTCAGCCACTAGGGCATGTTGTTCGCTAACTTGGCTTCCAAAAGTTAGAGAAGCGCTGCAGCAGATTCTGTATCATTTGTTGTTGTTGATGATGGATGACTTGCGGTATACAACAGTGTGGCTTTTTACTTTTCGTCCACATTCTAATGGTCAACAATATGAATCGACTTAATGTGGTTTAAATACAAGCCAGAAATACATGAACAATCCCAGCAACACATTACAGTGAACAAATTGGTACTTTTTTGCCATATATATACTCTTCATTGCTGCATATTGACAGACCATGTAAAATCTAACAAAACAGCAGCAGCAAGGCCAGTGGAGGCTGCCATAGGACACAGAGTGTGACTGATTGCTATAGCTCAGCTCCACTGCAGACTTACCATTGCTCTTTCCACCTTTCTCTATTTTCTCTGCTCATTTTCCAAACATAAAACTCCCAGGTCATCGCCTCAATATTTAAATGTAAATTACCCAGTCCACGTACGCAGAGAGATCATCATCTCCCCCCAAAAACAGATTAGGCTTTTTTGCCGTGCAGATACACCCACAAAATCCTAAATCTGGCATTGCTTTGTTTAGCTTTCTCATGTGCAGGAAAAATGCTGAGAAAGTACGTTCATATTGGAAGGACGCTTGCTCCAACCACGAGCAGAATGTAGGTGGAGGTCAGGCCCAGAGGTGCAGCATGGTTGAAATGTGCTACACCGCGAGGAATTTAATCAGGGTCCCCTGTCTGCCTGCCCCCGGCCCTTCTCTTCGCAGTCCGTCCACCAGTGCAGTTGCACTGCCTGCACACTCGACAGTCACGCCACCGCTCAGGCCACTCCCTCCCGCCGCTTGCTGAGCCAGACGATGAGCGCTGTGAGAGCAGCGGCGAGCATGGCGGGGCCAGCCACCAGCAGCCCCAGCACGGTGTCCGGAGGGTCGGCCAGCACCGGCTCGTCCCGGGAGCAGTTGGAGAAAAAGCGGCGGTGGACGTCCAGGAAGAACGCGTCCACCACCGAGTTGGGCCAGAAGCAGTCGCTCTGCCCTGCCTTCTCCTGCGTGCAGTTGGTCAGCGCGTTGTAGAGGCTGCCCGTGGGTTGTCGTTTGGGTTCGGGGGGGTGGTGAAGACACATGACACTGGTTATGGACAGTGCCAGGGATAGATGGAACATTGCTCAAGGTCCATTCGTGCATGCATTGTATATCCTGCCAACGGTTGTGCTGAGCCTGGAAACGTGTAGAGTTTTAGCACGGTATTCTCCATTCGCTGTATGTAATATTTAAATGTTTCCGTCGATTAGCACGGTTGGCTATATGCAGTGCAAAAGAAGCACCAACATAAATACATACATTACATAATGCATAGCAACTAGCTATGTGGCACTGTGATAAAGCGCTTGACTGACTGTTGAAAATGATGAATTGTGGGTCGCAGGACAACTGAGACAAGTTCAAATTTACTTGTTTAACCAGGGGAGAAGTCAAGAGACCAGGAGATCCTTATTTACAAGAATCACCTGAGTATCACTTTGAGGTTTGATTAAAAACAAATTAATGTTTTTTTATTGTGGGAAGTGAGCAGTAGTTATCCAGTAAGTGACAGGGCCACTCCGTTTCAATGTCAAATTTCTATTCATCACTCCCTTGCGGTCGCCAAAAGGGGTGAAGGTCATCCAAAGGTCATTTGAGCACAAGGGCCCTTTGACTCTTAAATTATTAAGGCTTCAGAACATTATACTGGAAAGATGTTTCCTATTGTTTCCTGCACAATTTTTCACCACAGCTCAAAACACATTGCTGCAGTATGCCATGGCTGATATACATCTCCAGCCAATAAAGTAATATGTTATAAGATGTACAAAATAAGATCACAGAAGTATGACCAGAGGACGGAGCTTTTGTTCCAAACCTTGGGATATTGAAAGTATGCTTTTAGGAAATTGTCATTTTTGCCAAGGAACCATCATTCATGATCCAAATGCACCTCAGTGTTATGAGTCATTACTGATTGTTATATTGATGCAGCTGATCTGGCTGTGACTGTCCCACCTGATGACGGAGACTTGTGTTGCCTCCGAAACGTCGTGATCTTTATTTTTATTTTATTATTTTTATTAATTTTGATGTTTTACCTACGTGACTTTACCGAAAACACCTAAGAATATGATTCCTTGCAGTCACGAAAGCTTCAAGTCTAGAATTGTTATACTACAAACCTATTTTTCTGGAAAATTATCATTCTCATTTACAGTCATGGCACAAGGTCACATTCCGTTATAGGTAAGCATTTAAATAGAGTAAATGGCATATGCTAAGTGAAATCGTGCAGTTACAGGTTATGTTTACAGCAAATTATGATGTTCCAAAAGACAATACAGTAACTTTTGATGACGGAGCTGGCATTTAAAACAGTTCATTCATACATGCATAGATACATTCATGCATTTATCAGTGAATAAAACGGTCTCTATGTCACAGAGAAGCCAAACTCGCATCTGCATCTGTTGGAGTACAACCTTTAACCGGGTGGAGGTGAAATTGTCAAGTTAAATGATAGGATGCTTTAGTTCCACTGTGAATAAAATAAAACACAATTCATGACGATGAAAACTTGACTTAAAGCTTTCGTGACTGCAGGATTGACGATTGCTTGCGTTGTGATCGGAACGTCGTGATATTTTTTTTATTTTTTTCTATATACGTGGCTTTACCGAAAGACCCAAAGAAGATGAAAACTTGTTAATATGGCATTACAATACTAGGCAATCTATCACAATGAAATGTGTTGCATGATTATTACAATTTTATTAGAAGCAATTATTTTCATTGTTATTGTAAAATAATGAGGACAATTATATCTGTGAAAGTGTATTCAACATGTTGTGTACCTGTATTGACAAGCTGACATTTAGGAACTTAAATAAATAACAGGGTGCTTAAAAAGAATGTTAACACTTACATGGAACTATCGTTTTTCATGGAAAAAGAACGGATAGTACATTGTAACATGATACAAATTTGATTTTAAGCTTTCGTGACTGCAGGAATTACTCTTTGATTATTTTGGTAAAGTCACGTAGAAATAAAATAAAATAAATAATAGCATACGACGTTTCTCATAATCAACGTTTTTGGGTTTAGATCGCGTTTATTTATAAATGTGTCGTAACCCTCCACCACCCGACACGGCCAATCAGTAAAAATGTGTCACGTTGACAAAGACAAATAGTTCACTGCTTTAGCCCACCGGTGTGTTGAAGCCACAACATTTACAATTTATTATTACAACACACCGGTGGGCTAAAGCAGTGAACTATTTGTCTTTGTCAACATGACACATTTTTACTGATTGGCCGTGTCGGGTGGTGGAGGGTTACGACACATTTATAAACAAACGTGATCTAAACCCAAAAACGTTGATTATGAATAACATTGGTCGCGAAAGCCTACGTGTTAAACTATACGACGTTTCGAATTGCAATACAAGCAACCATCATCAGGTGTGAATGAATGCAAGCTCGGAGAGAGACACATATACAGAGAGAGAGAGACAACACAGACACGGAGAGAGACGCATACACCGAGAGAGACACAGAGAGAGACAAACACACAGAGAGAAAAACACAGAGAGAGAAACACACATGGGGGAGAGACACATAGAGAGACACACACGCAGATAAGTTATCTGTGTGTCTCTGTGTGTGTCTCTCTCTGCGTGTGTCTCTCTATGTGTCTCTCCCCCATGTGTGTCTCTCTGTGTGTCTCTCTCTATCTCTGTGTTTCTCTCTCTGTGTGTCTCTCTCTGTGTATGCGTCTCTCTCTGAGCTTGCATTCATTCACACCTGATGACAGTTGCTTGTGTTGCAATCGAAATGTCGTATTCTATTATTTACTTTATTTTCTTTCTACGTGACTTTTCCAAAAGAACCAAAGATGATAACAAATGTAATGTTAATAGCTTCAAAAAGTCAGAGTCTCCACTTGCTCGCCATCATTGTCAACACATGCCTGGAATCTTCTCCAGGTGGTCCCCAGAGTCCAGATGCGCATTTCTTGTGGTGTTGTTGCACATTCCCAGAAGTGTTAAAACATGTTTAAGCACCCTGTATACGCCAATGGGTTACCCTGAACCGTGGGCTTAAAAAAAACTCATCCGTGTGGGCAGCCGAGAACAGCTGTGCCGCTAACCAGTACACGGCTGTAAATCGGTACAGGCCCTGCTAAACAGACATCAAAAGTATGTTTTAAATTAAATAGACATATTGCTGCGTTCATAAAAAAAAAAACAGAATCTCTCAGAAAGATTTGTTAGTGCAATGCAGCTGTTTCTTTCTGGAACATTCACTGAATTATAGAGCGGCAGTTATCATTCGGCTGTCCAATGCAGGACACACTGAAGACGTGCCCAAAATTCCACTCAAAAGTGCATGCTGGGGGAGTGGCAGCGTAGGTTGCAGGGACACGTAATATAACACCGAGCTAATAGGGGCAGCTCAGCTGGCTGCTGGCAAAATTACCAGCGTGTACTCAGAATTGCCGGAGCCTGGGAGCAGCTTGTCTTAGATCTGTCTGGCGCTGCCGTTTTGTGGTCACGAGCAAATAATATATTTGCATTTGTGCAACGTGCAAACAATGCTATAATGGAATTAGATTTTTTTAAATATATATGTATATAAAGCATCTGAATGCAAAGTGGTGTCTAAGAGGCTTTACAGATAAGGCAGGCATAGACATCGAGAGAGTGAGATAAGGGATGCATGCAATGGAGCAATGGTGTGTCTTTGTTCATACGTATCAATGAAATACATTTACAGGCTGCTCGAGTAACAGAATCAAATTGGTTTCCAAATCAAATAATTGTGAAGCGGCACTCTTCTCCCATTTGCGACCCTGAGCCGGTTGTGGAAATTCCCTATCCAAGAACAACCGCTATTGATTCAGATGAATGCACCGAAGTGAAAATACAGAAAGAAAGAAGACCATATCAGACTATAGGAGCAGCAGAAGAGACACTCACACTCATGTGTTACAAAACTACGACATTTGTGGTAGGTCTTGTTACGAGGTGAAAGTTGGCATCTCTTAGATTGGATGTATTTGTTGTACGAATTATCCCATTTAGTCAGTTTCCTGGCTATTTTACAATGTGATCCTCTTAAACAGTTAACACAAGTAGCCTGCATTGCACATTATCTGAAGGTGGGCGATCGGAGATTTAGAAAGTCCATTGGCATTGGTTACATTTAATAGGAGCTGAATTTTCTAAAACCTGCTCAGCCTTACTAGAACAATTACATTTTAAATGTTTAACGACTGCAATGGACAACCCTCCGCAGTTGTTTTTAGTATTGTATACGCAGCATATTTGAGTGGTATTAACTCATCTGTTTAGTCAATTATTAGATTTCATTCTGCTTGGTTTTATTTCCACATTACAGCTTAAATTGATCCACTTTGCAATTGAATACATTACTAAATCCACATAATAGGCACGTGTGTGCAAACGTTAGCATTCCTCTATTTCAAAATATAATTAGGATCCCTCTATAATGTATAAAGCTTATTGTGGAAAACAGCACTGGATTGTGTTTCAAAAACACAAGTAAACCCAATAATGTACTGCACTCGTGTAAGCATACACTAATGATGGCTTTTCAGCCATTTTTTTTCAAATCACTCAAAAAGGCCGGTCAATCAAACCACCAGTGTCTTCTTTTCCTCTCAGTGACAGTAAAGAAACCACTGCACTTTATTGCAGTACATTGCAGTCACTATCCATTACAGTGCAGCATTTGGTTAGATTCAGCTTGTGTTCGAGCACTCCTTTGCCAATCGAAAGGATGTGACTTTTAAAAATCCCGGTCACAAGGTTGGCTCATAACCCAAGGCTGATAAAATGTGTCAAAACAACAGTGATTGCCCTAAAACGACACTGTTCCCTCGATAGGAATATGGAATTTCCACCACTGGCCTTAGGCCACCAGAGAAGATGAGTTGTGCACCAAGCCTGGTTGAGCGTAGAGACAGGCTGACCACTCTTTGAAGATACTTTAAGACAACGTATTGCCAGGAATGTGTGTGTACTG